TAAAGAGAAATGAATGGGCTTAAAGGCAAAAATAAAATAAGACAACTTGAAAGGGGGATCCTTGACAGAATCAGAAAGTAGATCACTATACAACTCACTCACCGACTGTTTCGGAAGCATTGTTAATGGACAAGATTGGTAGGTCTAAACAAATACAATCCATATAGAGATTATAATATATATAGTCTGAAGAAAAACTCACTTTGCCTGTATGTTTCCTCTGTTTCATTCTGATGTCATATGTGTAGGTTTTCTACACATTTAGCCATTCTGTGACACTGACTGGGTCTTCTACAATTTCTTTCACTCAATTCTGACACTGCCTGCCTGCAGATAATGTCAGAGCCCCAGGTTAAGAGCTCAGTCCCACAAGATTTCCCCCACCCCCCTACTTCAGATGCTGACTCTGTATTGGAGGTTCCCATGACATCCTTGGGTTTGATTGATTTGCTAGAGTGGCTCACTCAAGAAAATGTTTTACTTATTAGATTACTGTTCATTATAAATGGAGGTAACTCAAGAGCAGCCAGATAGAAGAGATTTCATGTAGGTCAAGGAGTGTGGGAAGGGGTGTGGAGTTTATATGCCCTCTCTGGGTGTGCCACTCGCTAAGCACCTCCATGTGATCACCAGTGTGGAAGTTCTCCAAACCTTTCCTTTTGGGTTTTTCTTTTAAAGAAAGAAAAACCTTCATTACATAGGCACAACTGATTAAACCCGTGGCCATTGGTGATTGATTCAACATGTAGCTCTTCTCCCTTTTTAAGGTTGAGGGTGAAACTGCAAGTTGTAACTCTGATCTTGATTGGTTCCCTGGGCAACCATCCCCCATCCTTAGAGGGACTCCAGAAGTCACCTCATTAACAGGAGCTTAGGTGTGGTTGAAAAAAGCTGTGATGCATAAGAGAACACACCCATTTCCTCTTTATTACTCTGGAACTACCCTAGGCCCTGGAAATGTGACTAAATACTTAAAACAAAAGATACCCCTATGGATTCTCTAGGAAATTACTAGGGTTTTTGAACCTCTGTACTGGGAGCCATAGATGAAGACCAAATATACTTTCTTACATTACAATATCCACATATAGGGTATACTTGGTGAAAAGTTTTAATGTTTATTTAGTAAAAATAGCTATGGCTTCAAATCCCAGCTCTTTCAGGAGCCAAGTTTATAACCTTAAACAAGTTTTGTTTTCTGTTTGTTTAATTTAGATAAGAAATAAAAGAGAGCATTCTTTTTTACAACCGATTAAGCTATATTAAAGTGTATATAAAATAGTGTGAAAGTCCTCCTCTACCCTTTTTCCTCAGCTGTAAAGTAGAAAATCCCTTTCTTTTACAGAGGTACTGTTTTCATTGTTTACCTTTCTCCTTTTTCTTTTATGAATTTATGAAAATATTTGGACATAAATGCAGTAGAACTTTTAGAACACAAATGGGATTGTGCTATGTGTAAAAGTATCTTGTAGATCTTTGGGTTGTCCATTGACATATACAGTGACCACATAAGATTTTGTAGTCTAAATGCTCCATAGTTAACTGATTGCTGACTGATGAACACTGACTTTTCCCCCTAATTTATGCTGTTCAAACACTGCTGCAGTTAACATTCTTACACATTTATGTTTGCAGGTGTGTGTGTGGATATTTTCAATATTTGGTAAGAAAGATGACTAGAAGTGAAATTGTTTTGTGAAAGGGTATATACATTTAAAACTTGCAAGTATCTTACTGTATTGCCTTGGAAATTCCTGGATTTGATTTGCTAATGTTTTATTTAGCAGTTTTTCATCTTTGATCATAATTGGCATTATGGATTTCTGCACACACAGTCGGTTGCAGTATAGGAAATGAACTCTCACCTTGGGGAATTGACTTTTCACAGTAAACAGAAATAGGCCTGCTTTTTTCCCCCGCAGGGAGACACTACCACATCCCTCAAGACTGATGTGAACACAGTCCTGAAAAGTAGCCTGGGTAAAGAGCAGCCAGGACCTTGTCTTCTTGCCATACCCTGCAGAAACATACAGGTTTCTCAGGATCCCTGGCAGTTTGTGTCCCGCACGTCAGTGCTTCTGTGTGCCTTCAATGGTGTAAGCCAGGAACATGTGAATCATCTTACCATCTTTGTCACTGCCACTGTCTTGTACTCACTTCATCACCACATTCTGTAAATTTTATCTCCTGAATACTTTTCATGAAGAGTTTTTTTTTTTTTTTTTTTTTTTTTTTCCCTTTTTTCCACCTTCCCAGTCTGTTATCTTCTACTTATACTTCTACTTTGGCCTCTTACCCATTGCCTTCTTCCAATCTGTTTTTCTCTCCAGTCACAGATGTAGTCATGCCATCTGACTTACATAAAACATTTTATTGGTTTGAGAAACAGCAAGGAAATCCAGTGGCTTGAATGGAGTAGGGAGCGAACAGGAAATGGGATCAGGAAGGTAATGGAAGATCAGGTTGTTTCTGACATGTTAGATGGCTACTAACATTTTGGCTTTTATTCAGAGTCAAGTGGAAGTCTGGAAGGTTTTAGTGACATGATTTGACCAATTATAAAAGGATCACTGACTGCTGTGTTAAGAATACACTTATGGGGGAGAAAGTAAGTACATAATCAGGGAGATGATTTAGGAGGTTATTATAATAATCTAGTGCAAAATGATGGTGTCTTATACCATGTTAGCAGGAATGGAGGCAGTAAGTGAATTTGGATTTACTTTGTCAGATTTTGGATGTAATTTTCAGGTAGAACTATAGAACTTGCATTTTGCATATAGGATGTGAAAGAGACAGAGGTAAGTTTGATTCTAAAGTGTTTGTCCTGATTGATGATGTGTCATTTCCTGAGATGGGGACAACTGTAGGAGGAGCAGGTTTGGGAGGACTGGGATCAGGAACTCATTTTGGTCATGTTCAGTGTGAGATACTTACTAGGAGTAGACTTGCGTGTAAGAGCTGTTTAGTAGGCAGTTGAATATCAGTCTGGAGGTCATGGGAGAGGTCTGGGCTCTATGTACCCATTTGAAGTTGTTCTTGTATCTATCGATAGATAGATGTAGGGTTGCCAAGGGAGTGACTGCAGGTGAAGAAGTCCCAAGCCTTCCCACTTCAGAGGCTGATGGAAGGAGGAACACCAGCAGTAAAACTTGAGGCTGACTCCACAGAACGCTTCTGCTTACCTCTCGGACTCAATTTTCTTCTCCTTCTCCATGCTCCAGCCACAGTGGCTTTCTGTCCATTAAATGTGCTAAATCATTTCCAACTTAGGACCTTAGTACTTGCTCTTCCTTGTACTTGGGAACCACTTTCCTAGATCCTTATGTGGTTGTTTTCCTTTTGTCATTTTTTGTGAGGTCTCATCTCGGAAGTGAGCTTCGCAGAGATGCCTTCCTTGATGACCTTAACTAACACAGCAAGGTGTTTATACAAGAATACTCACCCACAAATGTGGCACCTGGTCTACTTAGAGCAGTGATTCTTTTCTTTTTTAAGCTCTACTGAATCTTTGTATTTTAATATCTGGTTATTAACAAAGAGTTAAAAGAATTCTTAATAGTATACACATTATAAATATTGCTTGGTGAATTTTCACAGACAGAACTTACCCAGAAAAATCAACAATATTCTGGAAGCCCCTCTTGCCCCTTTTGAGTCGCTAACTCCTTTCCCCAAGGGAGTTATTGAATAATTACTAATGTTATTGGATAATCACTATTATGACTTAACATATCAGATTCATTTTAGCTGTTTTTATGTATTCTTTTGTATCTGGCTTCTTTTGCTCAAGAATATATTTGAGTATGTAATTGTAGTTCATTCATTCCCATTCTGGTTTACATAACTTGAGGTTATATTAGGTGGACCTAAAGAGTTGTGACCATTGTCTTTAATCCCCTAGATTGATTTTGTCTGAAGTCAGTTGAAGTTCAGTCATGTGAGTCCTCCGGTTTTGTTGTTCTTCAGCATTGATTTGGCTATCCCAGGTCTTTTGCTTTCCATATTATAGCTCCTTTGCTTTCTCATGTAAGTTTTAGAATCAGCTTGTCTGTTTTTCCAAAAAAAGCCTGGAATTTTCATTGGATTATATTATAGTCTGTAGATCTATTGGTGAGAATTGACATCTTGGCAATTTTGAGTCTTCCTATTCATGAACAGTGTTTTATAATTTTTATAACTTGTACATACTTGATTAGATTTACTTTAAGTACTTTGTTTTTTTGCGCTATTATAAATACTACCAATTTAAAGAAATTTTCATTCTGCATTTGTTCATTGTTACTCTATAGAAATACAGTAGGAACAAAATGGTAGTTGCAGTCCTTTGCTATTAAGGAGGATAGTAGCTCTGCGTATTTTTGTAGATGTCCTTCATCAGGTTGAAGATTTCCTTTCTATCCCTAACTTGGTGATTCGTTTTTTAAAATCATAAATGGATATTGGATTTTGTCTCCCCCCCCATATCTGTTGACAAAATCATATGATTTTCCTTTAGTTTAGCCATGTAGTGAATTGTTGATTTTTGTAGTGAATTATTGATTATTATAGTGTGTTCATTGTTTTCCAGAAGTCTTTCTAAAAAATTAAGCATCATTTAACAAGTCTTAAATTTTTTTGACTACTGCTGATTAAATCCCACACTGGCCTGCCTGTCCATCCAATATATCTTTTCTCTGTGGTTCTTACTACTGTCAGCATGCTGTATGTTCTACTTATTTATTTGCATATTCTGCCAATCCCCAGTGGAATTAAGACCCATGTTTTGTTCTCTGTTGTATCGCCAGTCCCTAGAATGTTGTTTGGAATTAAAGTAGGACTCTGTAAATATTTGTTCAGTAAGTGAATATCTGCTCTCGAGGAACTTCTAGTCTAGGAGGGGAGAAAGAGGTACGGAAATGTGATACAACTTAGGAGAACTAAAAAAGCAATTCTTTGGGAGTGCAAGATAGGGGAGATTAAGTTCAAGTAACAGATTTCTTTTCCTTTTTTTCTATCAGATTCGGAAGAAGACACATCTAGGGGAAATTTATTTAATGATGCAGAAAATAAGAAGAAATCAATAAAAATGTGGTTCAGTCCTCGAAGTAAGAAGGTGCGATACGTCGTGAGTAAAGTTTCAGTGCAAACGCATCCTCAGGTGATAAATGTTGAGGGCGCTCGGCAGGCCTCCATGTACGAATTTGTTTCTTCAAGTCCCCCAACAAGTGTTTCTGAGAGGGCTAAAAAGGCTTCTACAAGATCTAGAAAAAAACAAAAAAAGAAAACTTTAGCTGAAATCAACCAAGAATGGAACTTAGAGGCAGAGAAAGAAGATGGTGAACTTGACTCCAAAGAGGAGTTGAAGGAGAAGCTGGTGTCTTTCTGCAGCCAGCCATCTGTCATCGCTAGTCCTCGGACAAATGGCGAGATAGATTTACTTGCCAGTGGCTCTGTTGGGGAATCGCAGGGTTGCGGCAGCTTCACTGAAGTCTCTTTACCGTTGGCTGAGCACATAGACTCTCCAGAAACGGAGGGCAGGAGTGAAGATGTGACTCCCGAGAAGAAGCTCTGTGAGAATCCTCGTGCGTCAGGTCCCAGTGGGCGACGTGGCCGTCGCAGCGGACCGTCCAGTCCCGTCCCTAAGCGATGCAGGAGCAGCATTCCTGGCACCAGCAGACAGCACATAGCGCTTGCAGACAACAAACCGTTGCCTGGCTGCTCCTCACCACCCTCGAGCAAACTCAAAGTTGGTGACACCCTGAGGAGGAAAGACAGTAATGTATCAGATGAGTCCATGAGCCTCTCCCCAGGTACACCACCGTCCGCACTGAACAGCCCGAGTTACAGACGGATGATGTCCAGCCCCTCAGCAGCAAAGCTGTCACCCACTAGCCTTCTGGCTGTGAAAAGAAATCATAGAGGAGAGACTCTGCTTCATATTGCTTCAATTAAGGTAGGATGCTTACCCTGAAATACAATTTGGAAGTGAGACCAGCCATAAAGCAATTTCTGCAGGGCTTAGGGACAATGACGTAAGATGACTAGGATAATTAGCCCACCACATGTGATGCTTTGAACCAGAGAAGAAAATTCGCAGGGACTGCATCCCCACCTCAGAGCAGTGGCCCCTGGGCCCAAGGAGCGTGATCTTGTAGGAGAAAATGAGTATTTCATTATTTCAGCTTCTGCTTTGCCAAGGGCTTTCATTTGTCTATTCCTTAATGGTTTTGTTGAGTTTTCACCACGTTCTCCTGCTTGCTTTATGAATATAGACAATTGCCAGGTTATTGCTGGCTGTACATCTTTACCTAGCCAAAGAGCTAGGGACTGTGTGGGAGGCCACAGACTTGCATGTGGCACATGCTTGTAGAGGGCACTGCCAGGATTTGCAGGGTTGAAAGATGTGATCTGTACATTTTTCCAGTGACCCGGATATTTGACTCTCAGAAATGGCCCCATGGTTGACCATGAGGGACTTTGCTGTATCCCACAGCCAGCTGTTTCTTTTATGAGCCTGCTCATTAAAGTTACCTCTCTTTATTTACTGCCTTAACACTGGAGGTGCGGTGATGTGAATTTTTGGGAACCTAGCCCATTTGTCAGGCACGAGGTATACTTGCAAGGGTTCATCTCTGCAACCGACTCAAGAACTGCACATATGGGCAGCTGTTAGCACCATAGCTTCGTAGACTTTGTGATCTCATGCAAGTGTTACCAAAATAAAATATGGGAGAGCTTACGAATGAGTTTGGATAGTTTGTATGATCTGTTAGTAAATTCACAGGAAATCCTTGGGTCTTTTGCATGGATAGAGAACTTCGGGAGATCTGGAAGCCAAACAGACAGCTGGTAGGCAACATGAAACATCAGGGAAGAACATGGAGTAGATATTGAGTCCAGGCCTTCCTATGTTTTTGTATGGAGAAAGGGAAAATCACAAAAAGGAGTTTCCCCAACTGTTAAGAGTTTTATTTTCTTATTTTATTTTATTTTTTTAAAGACTTATTGATTTGTGAGAGACCGAGATAGTGAGAGACAGTAGGAGCGGGGATAAGAGGGAGAAGCAGGCTTCCCACTGAGCAGGTAGCCTGATGCAGGGACTCTCCATCCTAGAACCCTGGGATCATGACCTGAGCTGAAGGCAGACGTTTAATGGACTGAGCCACCCAGGTGCCCCTAGGGTTTTATTTTTATTTGTTTATTTTTCCTTGCTTTATATTCTAATAAATGGTGAATATAGAATATTCTATATCTGATACCAGGGAGGAGGAAAACAGCTAGTTTCTACATACATGTCCTTTGAACAACTTGAATTTTCAGAGTTTGTCCCAGTTATACTTTATTTTTTGCAAAGCATTAATTTAAAAAATTAGACTATATTTTTTGTCCTGCTTGTTATATATTTAATATATATGCCCATAAGCTATTATAATCTTAACTTTATAATGCTATTTCATTTCCATTCTTTTTTTTTTTTAAGATTTTATTTATTTATTTGACAGACAGAGATCACAAGTAGGCAGAGAGGCAGGCAGAGAGAGAGGAGGAAGCAGGCTCCCTGCTGAGCAGAGAGCCCGATGCGGGGCTCGATCCCAGGACCCTGAGATCATGACCTGAGCCGAAGGCAGCGGCTTCATTAGCCATAAGTAGCTAGCATAATAATAATTTTTTCATTTTTCTGACTAATACATAAGAATGTAGACTGCTTTAGTTTCTACATTTTGCTTTCTGGTAATTATTTTCAGACCACCAGGCAAGCCTCCGTTTTCATTGGTAGAGAATTTTTCTTTTAACCATAATAATAATTTTATCTTTACTAATGAAGATCTCTAGGAGCTAGGCCATGGTTTCTTAAAGGGGCAGAGTAAACATTTTCAGCTTCATGGGACATACGGTCTCTACAATTATTCCTCTCTGCCCTGTCTGCCCGTAGTCAGAAGCAGCCATAGACAATATGTATGTAAACCAATAAAATTTGACATGTAAAATCGTGTGTCTGGCCTATAGGCCATAGTTTTCCTACCCTATGCCTCAGCAATGGAAAAAAGACACAGAATTTTAAGACCGGGGGGAAAAAAGATGCTATCTTGTAAATTTACTCCGTTGAAGGATTATTAGTTTATCTAGGAAGAGTATTGCCCGTGTTAAAATTACCCATTTGATTCTCTTGAATTTTAGCATACACTGTTATTGTCATTAGTTGGCAGATTCTGATACAGTATTTTTAAGAAAAGCTAACTGACTTCTGTTGTTTTTAAGTTACTATTTAACAAAGATGCACTCTCTTAAAAATTTGTTAATGAGTTGAATGAAAACCCCCCACCCAGGTTGATTTTGATAGAACAAATACTTGGGAATAATCCCAGTGGATTTATCAGGATATTTATCTTTTTATAAATAGTATTCATTTCACTTTCTGCCCTAGTTTCTCACTTGCAGGCAAGAATGAATGATCTGTGTGTACTAGAAAACCACATATTGTGATTCTGCTATCTCGATTTATGTTTTGTGCCCACCTACTTTAGGAAAAGATTTGAGGAGGCTCTGAAGTTCAGATAGTAAAAATGGAACAAGGAGCAGGGGAAGAGGAAAGATTTACTGTGGCTGAATGGAATGTAGATCTGATGACCTTTCAGGCAGCCAAGCCAGATCAGGGGCGGTACCAGGTTTTTGCTGTCAGAGGTAGATTTTTGTTGTTGATGTTCTTCCCCAGAGTGTCTCCGTAGACTAGCCATTTCCATTGTTCCAGTCAGCTTCTACGAGTGCACTTGCTTGGTGTGTGTACTGAGGGTAGAGGACCCCTCCCCCCAACAGTTATATTGGGCTAGTTGTCCCAGCTAGTTAGCTTCTCCTATGCAGGTACGGCTTTACAGAATCATCTCCAATCTTGCTAACGTCATTGATAAAAGTTCTTCAATACCTTGCCACGCACCTGTCTCTTGGCATCTTTCTTGGGTATAACCTTTCCACAGCCACTACCTTAGTGGAAGTTACTTATCTTTCTTGCCCTGACCTCATGTTTCCTGTTGCTGTCATAGCAAGTCACTACACATTGCAAATTAATTTTCTTTCTTCTTGTTCTTGTTCTTTCTTCTTTCTTCTCCTTTCTTCACCCTTCTTCTTCTTCTTCTTCCTTTTTCAACAGTTCTATAGGTTAGAAGGCCAGTATGGGTCTCACTGGACTAAAATCAGTTTGTCAACTGTGTTACATTCTAGAAGCTCTAAGAGAGAACCCGTTCCCTTGCTTATTTGGGATGTTGCAGAGAACTGGATAGATCCTTGTGGTTGGAGGACTGAGATCCTGTTTCTTGCTGACTTTCTGCTGAGGGCCGTTCTCTCTCTCTCTCTCTCTCTCTCTTTTTTTTTTTTTTTTTTTTTTTTAAGATTTTATTTATTTATTTGACAGAGAGATCACAAGCAGGCAGAGAGGCAGGCAGAGAGAGAGGAGGAAGCAGGCTCCCTGCTGAGCAGAGAGCCCGATGCGGGGCTCGATCCCAGGACCCTGAGATCATGACCTGAGCCGAAGGCAGCGGCTTAACCCACTGAGCCACCCAGGCGTCCCTCTCTCTCTCTCTTTTTTTAAGTAATCTCTACACCCAAGATGGGGCCTTGAACTCACAACCCCGAGATCCAAGAGTCTGCACGCTCCACTGACTGAGCCAACCAGGTGCCCCCATTCTCTTGTTCTTTAGTTTGTGCCCCCCACCCTTCCCCTGTCTTCAAAGCTTACAACAGCAGATGCTTCTTGTAGCACATGACAAAGTCCCTTTTGTGTAACATACAAAGATATAACATTCAAGTTCTGGGGGTTAGGACACAGACAGTTTTGCGGGGGTAGGGGGGTGATTATTCTAACCATCACCACTGAAGTAGCTTCCTAATTTCTTGCCCTGCTTTCCTGTACACTTCCTGTATTCGGATCCCTATATGGAAGCCAGAATAAATTTTGATCCAAATTTTGACCCAAGTCAAAATTTGTCACTCTCTGTTCCTCTACCGTAACTTCCTGGCCCACTTAAAATAAAATCCGCAGTCCTTCCCATGGCCTACACAGCCCAGCACATTCATCCTCCTTCAGGCTTCTGCTCAAATGTCAGAGGACTTCCTAGCTTACCTAAAGTAGCAGCCCTGCTTGTTTTATATTTCTTCCTGTTATTTCCCGACATTATTATAGATCTCTTAGTCTCCTGCCTTTCTCTTTAGAACGAGAGCAAGAATTCTGTTTGTTCACTGTTATGTCTTCAAGATCTAGAACATTGCCTGGAACATAACAGGTGAATTTGATGAATAAGTGAGCAAATTTTCTCTGCCGTCATGATCTGAACCCCATTCCATTCTCTTGTCACACTGAACTTTAGTTTTTTTTTTTTTTTTTTAAAGATTTTATTCACCTATTTCACAGAGAGAGATCACAAGTAGGCAGAGAGGCAGGCAGAGAGAGAGAGAGAGGAGGACGCAGGTTCTCTGCTGAGCAGAGAGCCCGATGCGGGACTCGATCCCAGGACCCTGAGATCATGACCTGAGCCGAAGGCAGAGGCTTAACCCACTGAGCCACCCAGGCACCCCTGAACTTTAGTTTTATGAATTATTCAGGTACGTTCATTAATGCTATTCATGTTCTTTCCTATGACTCTTAAATTCTTTCCTTTACATGCTTCCTTTTTCCTTCCTGGTTCTTTGTACACAACCTTCAAAATCCAGTTTACATCCTACCTTTTTAGTAAGTCTCAGAATTCCCAGAATTAGTTTCTTCTCTATGGTGACATTATTTTGTTTGCATTTATATTCATTTAGCTGCTTATGGCATGACTCAAATATTGTGGTTACCTAGAGCATATTCTTCATTTAAAATTTAACTTCAAAATATGAGTAATAACTGCATGTTTTAAAAATAAGAATAAAAGCATTTGTAGTAGAAAATTTCACTTCCATTTTGGCCCTAGACACCCTATTACTGACAAGCTTTTTCCTACTCACCTTTCTTAAACTTGTGTGTCCTTTGTCAGTTTCTTTATGTAAATATAAACGAATGCTTTCATATTAGGACAGAGGTTTCTGTATATTTTCATAGTTGCATTGCTTTCTATGAATCTTTTCTATCAGTTATTTTTAACTAGTCCCTCACTGATAGATGCCTGTTTGTTTCTATTCTTTTGCTTTTAGGAACAGTGCTGTGGTAAGCAATCTTTGTTTCATATGTGAGGGGGTGTATCTTTAGGATAAATTCCTGGAAGTGGACTTCTGGGTTAATGGAAGGCATCTATTACCTTATTTATCTTGATAACCTCTGTACTTGGCAACAGAAAGGTCTTAGTAAATATTCAGTCTGCCTAAATTCAGACTACCTGAACGTAGACAGCTACTCTGTTGCTGGCAGATTCTCTTTGTATGATTAGTTCTCAAATCCTTTTTTTCCCTTAGAATCATGGATTTACAGATGAGCCATCTAATTTTTGGACATTCAGCACTATTTGGATGCCAACCCCACAGAGGATTATTCTTGAATTCCTTATTTATACTTTCATTTTATTACACTGTGGAATTTCAAGCAGAATATTCATTAATAGGATGTCTGGGATGTTGTGCACATTCTCATTTAACCAGAACATAAGTTGAGATCCAGTCAGTTCTCTTTATTGCCCGTGTTTCTAGGTGTATTTGAATGTAAATGTCACCTATAGTTAAAATGCTACTGAGAACATTATGTCATAAATGTGAGATTTTATGAGAAAGTGTTCCACCTAAGTAGAAACTACAATAAACACTCGTTATTTATTCTTCTGGTTCCATTTTTAAAAACTTAGTATTTGATATTTCTTTAGACATAGAGAAAATTTTGATTTGTTACTTTATTATGTCACCTTTCCTTAAAGATTTGTAGTTGCTGGAGTAAACATCCTCAGATTTCTAGCAGATTCTTAAAATGGTAATGATTACTTATAATTCATGCCACAGCATTGAATATATCATGAAATAGAAAAAAGTCTTGACCTTGGCATGTCATGATACACTTTTGATGCAGACATAATGAATCATATTTTGAAGGCAACTTACAAGGCATGATACACTTAACAAAGGTGATGGGAATCTCCTGGGTAGAGAGAACATCCCTTGTGAGGAGTCTCCTTTAGGATTTGCCTTTGTAATTCACTGAGTTTTAAGGCATTCATGTTGTGTATAAAGTCATGTTACTACATGTCCTTCATGCTACCTTCCTGAGAAAGTAGTAAAGGACTCAAGCAAACTCGCAGCATATTTTCAAGATTTTAATTTCTAGAACATCTTTTAGATTCAGTATCCATTTCTCCCCCTGTCACATACCACTTTTATAATACTGACCCTCCTTAATATCGGGAACTTAACCATCATGGACTAGGTTGTCAAAATCATCTGTGAAACTGTTTTATTCAGTAAAGTCTGAGAAGCCAGGGAAGTGTTTAATATATTTTAGAGCTTCATTCTGTATGACTAAAAACAATTTTTTAACAATATCTAGAAGTTTTAGGTAGCTGATTAGTTCATTTATGTGGAAAAGCTTAACCATTTGTGGTAAGTTGTCATTATTATAATGTCGGGTACCATTTTTATCAAAATATTCTTAATTGTATTTTAGAAGACCTGGTCTTTATAATTAGGAAAATAGTGTGTGTGTGTGTGTGTGTGTGTGTGTGTGTGTGTGTTTGGAAAGTTAATTTATACTGCTGTAACATATATGGATGTGTGAAGGATCTTTTTGAACAAAAGTTTAGCAATAAGAAAATTGATCGTGGTACACATCTCCGTTTATTTTCAGCCTCTTAGGTATTGCTTGAAAATACCAAGTCCACTTAAAATTTTTTACAAGCATTGGGAAAAACTCCTTAGATGATTTTTTTTTCTTGCTGTGGTTTAAGAAAATCTCCATTATTCTTTTAAGTTGTGGGGAGTCTAAAAGTGAGTACTTACTATTCAGAAAGTATTCTGTTAGCAAAGACAGTAATTTAAAAAAATCAGAAGCAGAAGTTAATTTATTTCCCAGAAACTCCATACTGGTTCAAGCTTACTCATTTGGTGTGGATTCTATGTATAATTTTCATAATTTTATTTATGTGCATGACATTAAATTTACATAAAGTAGAACAATGAAATTATGACAGATTTTTAAGTACTAGGGAGGAGAAAGCAGGGTGGGTATAAATAACAAGCAGTTTGCATGGGTATGTGTTTCAGGGAAGTCTAGGGATGGTTTGTTAACAGAAGACACTTTGATAGTATGGCTAGGTGACATGGAAGAAAAAAGGCACTGTCTAGGAACCTTACAAGAGTCTTTAGATTGTCACTGTTTCTGTGTGACTGTTTCCCCATGTTCTGTGTGACTGTTTCCCCGTGATTCTTCATCCCATTGTTGTGTTTATATTATTTTATGGACTTCTTTAGGTTAATATGTTTTTGTGACTACTGTGTAGAGTTAGAATGAGGAAATCTTTTAGAGAGCTTATTGTGTTGTGTGTGTGTGTGTGTGTGTGTGTGTGTGTGGCTGTGGATACTTTCATTTGTTAGTTGGAAATGTATGAATGTATGTGGTTCTGGCAGTTCATCTGCCTCTACATTCATGGGATTGTTTCACTTGATCTTAGCCAAAAGGCCAAGAAGTGATTCCAGGGATTGTTTAAAAAAATTCAAGGGGCACCTGGGTGGCTCAGTCGTTAAGCGTCTGCCTTTGGCTCAGGTCATGATCCCAGGGCTTCTGGATCGAGCCCCGCATCGGGCTCTCTGCTCCGCAAGGAGCCTGGTTCTCTCTCTACCATTCCCCCTGCTTGTGTTCCCTCTCTCGCTGTCTCTCTATCAAATAAATAAATAAATTTTTTTAAAAAATTCAAATTTGTATCTTGACAGATGTTCCTAGTTTTATTTGGAATTGACTTGAAGATAGAGTGAATGTTGCTAACTAAATGTTAACTTGTACTACAGGTATAGAATTTGTACCCCTAAGATTCTATGGGAAAATGTTTTTTTAACTGAAGCTAGGCAATTGATTTGAAACATATATAATGTTTATTTTTTAGATCCATTAAGTGTTTAGGGTTATTTTGTTAATTTAGGAACATAAAGATGTATGTTGCAAGTCTACTTTTTTTCAGTAGAAAACTAAGTAAGCTATCATCTTAAGATTTGCTGTGTTTGAGAGGTAGCCCAAAACAAGCAAATAAAAGTTACTGTTTTTAGGAGATTTAATGATTTCTAGATAATCCAACCAGTAGGGGAAAATCTCATTTCAGAAGAATATTGGGGCTGGGAGTGGGAGAAGAGAGATTTCCTTCTCCCTAAAACTCTTCATAAAACCAGTTGAACACAGCTTTGTCATAGATAGAACTTTTGCCATATGTAACTTATTCAGCCTTTTTCAGAGTAAGCTGTGTCAGAAGTATTTGGAGAAAATAAGCCATGCTTTTGCCTAGAAAAATAAGAGCAAATAAAGTGAATATAAACTGAATTGATGTATTAAGGATAAATGGAGTAACTGTCAATAAGAAAACAATTTTTGGCAGTTTTAACTGAGTAACCTTCTTAGCTGTAATTTTGCTTTAAACAGTACTTGGAAATTACTTTAATGCATGCTCAAAAAGGATGTTTTTCACAAATGAAGTGATGACTTTAAATACTTCATTATCATCAGTTGATTTTGGCTAGTGCCCTTTATTTGGTATTTTGAAATGACTTTTGATAAGGGTTGCTAATCGCAGGGATTTTGTACTTGATATTCAAGGTTGGACTGTATGACTTCATGACTTGATACCTCAGAATAGTTCATCCATATATTACTTCTTACTTATGATTCATGAGTAGTAGGCATTAGAGAAAAGATTTAATTTTGATTCTATCTTTAAGAAGACTGAATCTTCAAACCAAACCCGAATCTTAATATCTTCTTTTCTTTTTTGATGATTTTAATTTCTTTTTGTTTTTTCATTGTTCTACTAGGGCGACATACCTTCTGTTGAGTACCTCTTACAAAATGGAAGTGACCCAAATGTTAAAGACCATGCTGGATGGACACCATTGGTAGTTTCCTATTTGTTTTATATTCTCATTTTGCTTATGTTTTATTGTTACTATACTTAAAGTTATGTAGTTGTCTATATATTATCTTCTGCAGTATACATTCTCTTTTTAATCTGAAGAATTTGTATTTTTACCAAGTAAGGGAAAGTGATGATTTTTCATCTAACTTTTCAGTTGTGACAGGTAAGAAATTGGCTGCCTTTTCACTGACTACCTTTAGATTTAGGAATTGAGTCACACTATATTGCTTAATGTAGCCAACAGATGGAGGTGACTGCTATAACCGACACGAGGCTCCCTTTTGCCACATTGCATGTCATTGGAACCAGATTTCTTGGAACAAAGAGATGTCAGAGGAACAGGGTACAGGATTGTATCACAAGGCAGTGATTCTTTTTTTTTTTTTTTTTTAATTATTTATTTGACAGAGAGAGCACAAGTAGGCAGAGAGGCAGGCAGAGGGAGAGGGGGAAGCAAGCTCCCTGCTGAGCAGAGAGCCCGATGTGGGGCTCGATCCCAGAATTCTGGGATCATGACCTGAGCCAAAGGCAGAGGCTTTAACCCGCTGAGCCACCCAGGTGCCCCACAAGGCAGTGATTCTTACTGAGGATCTGTTGTAGCCTCATTTATACCCTACCTAATTGCAAATATAGAGGGGTAGTAGAAAATCTTGGCTTACATTAAACATTTAAAAAAATCTTTTATTATTACTAAAGATGCAATGTGAAGTGTAGTCTGGAGAAGAAATGGCACAAATTCATGGAAACAAATGCTATTTGGGCTCATTGTGGGCAATTTGAAGACAGCTGTAGTGATATCAGTAGAGGAGGTAAAAACTTACCCCATGACCTGGAAATTTATCATAGAAATTGGGAGATTTTCATTAGGCCAGGTATCAAAAAGGCTCAAAGTTGTGTATAATAACTTCTCACCAAATTTCTAAGCTGGGAGGGTTTAGTCTGGATCAAAGTTACTTTGTCGTTTTTGACTCCACAGGCTAACCTCTTCAGAGAAAGGTCAGTTTTTTGTTTGTTAGTTTGTTTGGTTTTGGTTTTTGTTTTCTGAAGCCAGTAAGGCCAATTGTAGTGAAGTTTGATGAGTGATTTATTAGAGGACCCAATGTCTGATTTGGCTTCCTTTCTCCTAGAAATAGACCTTACATACATTTCATGTGGTATTTCTTTTTATGAATTGAATAGATACACATAAAAAGCACAGTATGCTAGAGATTTATGGGAGGACAGCCTTGTGGCTTCGTTAACAGTTCATTAGACATGAGGAAAGATTTGCACATGAGGTATCTTGAATATTGCGTTGTTACCCATTACATCATTCATTCTTTTTGAGCCCTTACCCTGTTATTTCTGTTATCGACACCAGCCATATAGTAATCTGTAGCTTCAGCAAATAGAGAAGATTGTCTTGTAAATACTCTCTCCTGGATATTCATTTTCTGGGGCGGATCTATATATGTGTGGGCGCCCCACTTAGCATATGGCTAAGTACCTGATTTAGCGAATGCTATTTGGCCATGGAAAATTTCACTTTTTATGCATGATCTAGTTGTTAAATACTTGGAGTTTTTTGTTGTTTGCAATTTTTTACTGTGGAAGAGTGTAGGAACTAGAGTTGGTTTATACATATATAGAGTTGGTCAACTACATTTTCTTAAAAAAACAGTAGGTGACCAAAGGCTCAGATAAATAAGCCCTTTTTCCATCAGTTGCATAGATTTTGATCATCATGTATCTGATCATTAAGATTATTAACAGGGCTTTACTCTGAGTCAACACTTACGGTCTGTATGAATTTTTAGGTAGGAACCAGTTTACTGACTGAAGTTCACATTTATTTTTCTAAAGTGCAGTTTTATTATGATATTAGACGTCGTTCTTCCTCATCACCTTTCTCCCTTCTTTTCTTATTACTTAATTAGCATGAAGCCTGCAATCATGGGCACTTGAAGGTAGTGGAGTTGTTGCTACAGCATAAGGCATTGGTGAACACCACTGGCTATCAGAATGACTCACCGCTTCATGATGCTGCTAAGAACGGGCACTTGGATATAGTCAAGCTCTTACTTTCCTACGGAGCCTCCAGGAACGCTGTGTAAGTCGTTCAGCTTAAATACTGTTGTTCAGTTGACTTGTACTCCTGAGTCAAGACTGTGACGGAACCCACCCTTGGAGACTCAGATGGGTGGCTCTCTTTCTTGTCTTTCACAACTGAGGTTAGACGTGACCATTATAGTCTGTATTTAAAATCAGTGTTCGTGCCCTTTTCCTTTGGAACACTTACATTTTTGAGGAAGACTTGCTTCTTTACTTTAGAAATGATTGGCAAATTAATTTCGGAAGCTTTGATTTTTCTGCATAAATTCACTTAGTTATATTCTGTAGATTGAGTCATACTTATTAGTGAGAAAAGAATGAGAAGCATAGAAATAACTATTTTGTATGCTTCACAGTACTTTAGATTTGTTTTAAAAATTCTATTTTTTTATGCTTTTTCTGCATATATAGTTAAAATATGTAAGAATTCAGATGTTGGGCAAGTGTTATCAAGTTATTTCTTAGACTTTCCACATCAGTCAAATGAAGCTCGGGGTAAATTGTTTTGCAGTGTCAGGGCACAGAGATGCATTAGCGAATGCTGGTGGCTGCATTTTAAAATTGCTATTGTCAAGAGTGTCACAAGCAATTGCCGTATATGGATTTTATATCTTTAATCTATAACTTGGTTCATGTCTCCCTATATATTATTTTACTCTCTTCAGTTAATGAGGGAATTGAAATGGAAATAGAAGAACTGCCTCTTCATGTCCCCGTTGCTTATATAGGTTTGGAAAGAGCACACGAAAGTCACGCTTACTTTGATTACAGAGGCAAACAAGAATTACAGAATGCAGAGCTTTTAGGTTGTAATCTTTTTATAGCATAATTGAAAAACTAATAATGCAGGAGTACCTTGGTGCTGTTAGTTTCAGAAAGTGGGTCTAATATCTTTATTTTCTAACACATATGGTGAGATTGTTGGGGCACACTCAAGGGGACCATTTTTCCATATTTTTATTTTTCTGGCTTGCATGTGTATAGGCGCACACACATATCATCTGTCTATATGTGTGTGTGTGTGTGTGTGTGTGTGTCTGTATGTGTGTAGACACACGCACGTGGACCAATAGGTATGACCCTCCTGTGGGTATAGCCAGCCATTTGCTAAAGCAAATGGTTGTTTGGGTCAGGTGAAACTGAATAGTTTCCATCCTTGGGTTCTTAAATCAGCCATGACTACTTTAATGAATGGAGCACTGGTCAGGGCGTTAGGGAATTCAGCTTTTATTTGTGACTCCATTATTGACTTTATAGCCTCAGGCAGGTTAATTTCTGTGCCTTGGTGTCCTCACCTATAAAACATGGGTGATGCCTGCTGCCTTTCTATTTCTTCAGAGCATAGTGAGGATTAATGAGCCAAAACACAGGGCCTGTCTGGTGGTTTGTACACCATGATTCTTCACTACACCGTGAAGCTTATTAATATACCAGGTGTGGGCACGAGACAGTGAGCCGAGTCTGCCTTCACAGGGGCCTCTCAGATGAATGTGTTGTTTTTAAATGGGCTTACCTAGTGAAGTGGCAGATTTAGGTGTACCTTTAGCGAAGCGCCATCCAGTAAGATCTTTCTGTAGCGATGGAAACGCGCTCTCTGTGCCGGGCGCTCAGGAGCCACTAGCCATCTGCTGCTGGTGAAGACTTGAGCTGTGGCTGTTGCTACTGAGAAACTAAACTTGAAAATGAACTTTAATTAATATAAATAGCCACATGGTCCAGGTGGCTGCTGAATTGGATAGCTGGTTGATAAAGTTAGGGTAGTGGGGGAAGAGGATTTATCTGGTGCAAGGTTGGGGATAACATCGGGTGGAGATTGGTGGGGCAGCTATAGAGCAAGTAGAGCAGTAGATTCATGTAGGCTGTGAGAGTGTGTGGTAGTGGTTTCTAAATACCGTTATTCCTTCGTTTCCAGACTGGTGGGCATCATTCTCTGGTATTTGCTGTGGTTTTCACTGCTTTATTTCAAAGTACTTGTTCACCTGATTGGCTTTACCAGTTTCCTAACTGGTCTCCTCCTTTTTAGATTATTTTTCTTTGGTCATTCCCCACACCGCAGCCCAAGAACTTTTAAAAAGATGTCTGGCCAGATCACTTACTTGCATGAAACCCTTCACTGGCACCTCTTAATGTTTTTAAAATAAACTTCAACACGCGGTTCCTAAGGCCCTGGGTGGTGTGGCACCACCAGCTTCTCCAGCCCTCCTCTTGCTGCTCTTCCTCCCATCCCCCTGGGCCTCCAGCATTTTTTATTCTAGCCTTTCTAAATCATGCCTGCTCTCCTGGTCCTGCCAAGTGCCTAACATAGTCTGTACCCACATTCGTTTGTAGTGGAAATAAGTTAAGTGTTTGAATGCGTGAAAAGATGGTATATGTTTTCCTCCCTTTTGTAAAAGGGTCAGGTCTCACAGCAACAGGAATTGCCGCCTTCTGCTCCCCGAGTCACTGTAAGTGCAGAGTGAAAGTCTGAAACCACGTCCCCGTAAAGCTGCTCCTTTTCTGGGGTGGTAGCACTGGTTCATGGCAGATGTTAGAGTAAATGACTGTGCTCCCTGGGTAGAATCCTTAGTCTCTTGTCCATTGGGCAGCCATAGTATGTTACCTTCCGTGGGCTCACGGCTTCCCATTCCTGTTGCCTTGACATTTTTAAGATCTGTTTTTCTTGCTGCCAGGGTTCTGTTTATTGTCCTTTTGAGTTAAGTACTGACAAGTGATAATAGATGGAATTCATTTCTTGACTTTTCTCCGTTTAAGAGTAGAGCCTGGGGAGAGGGCCCAGGGACTATATGGACTTCTTACTACCTTTTTTCTTTCTTTTCTTTCTTTTTTTGGCTTGAAGCTCTTGTTCATTTTAAGCCATTAATATCTCTGACTCTAGAATCTGAGTTGGCAAGCATATTACTTTAATTTTCTTTGCTTATACTTCTATTTCTCTATATGTCTCTTACTCTTAATGGAACTCTTCTCTCAATAACCAGGACTAGACTCTTCTTATCCCTGGAAGAAGGAGGAAGGGTTGGAATGGGGAAGGGTGAAGCTGTTCTTCTGTCCTTCCCTCTTGATGCCTTGGTACTTTGACTAATCGAAGTTGTAGGCGGGTAGAGTTTCTGTTTGCTTCTTCTGAGTTTCCAAAGAAAATCTTCAGCTCTGTAACAGACATTTTGGTAGTCTTCTTCATTCTTTTGAGGTTGAAGGAGTTTCCTTACTTGGATGCCTTCATTTCCTGGGTCTTCAGTGACATCCTGTTAGGTGTTCTCAGACTCTCCCCACTGCTCCTTGACTTCCTTGTCCCCTGCTCTTGGATCTGCTCCTTGTTTTCTAGTGATTACAGAGCAGTGATTACAGAGCCCTGTGATACATGCCTTCCTAGGTCAGTGCACAAGATTCTGTGAAAATCTAGATTAGGGGCTATACGTGTGACTAGAGGCAATCGTAAAAAGCTTTCTAGAGGAAGGAGGACTTCTAGTGACTTTTGAAGACGCGGAATAGGAGGATAGGCTTTTCAGAAGGAGTTGGTGGGTATTGAGGTACACGGTAGCCAAGGCCATTTGTCCATTCAGTTCTAGGAGCTTTGGTTAGTGACTGTAAGACTGGTATGAAAGGAAGGAGGATGACCCCTTGAGGCTGCAGAAGGTGGCAGAGGCAGAGAGACCCCGTGTTCAGATTTTACATTGAAAAGTTCATCCTGCACAGGAGCTGGGAGCTCAGCGGGGAGGTGTGTCCAGTAACCCGGGGAGGTGAGTCTGAGCTAAAGTGGTGGTGGGGACAGTGGTGGCTGAGGGAGGGAGTTTATTCTTTTTATCAGCTACTTCCTACACGTGAAGTCTGATACACGGTGTTAAGAAATATCTTATTAGGGTTGTGATTGAAATTGAGTAAGGGTATGGATTATAGTAGATTTAATAAACTTCACTTAGTATTTATAGAGATTTTCTAGGTATTTGATTCTTTTGTTGCTCTGGTGAACTGGCTGTTCTGTTAATAAATAGAGCTTGTTATTTCTGACATACAGGAAAGCTAGCTAACACCTAATTCTAAGGGTTGGATTATCATTTATTAATTTCTTACTGCATTTGTCCGAGTTTCTAGGACAATATTATAAAATCATGTGATAGTTGGCATAGTTGTTCTCTTTTCATTTTTTAAAATATTGAATGTAGGTTTACAGTTAGCATTACAATCAATATTAAAAATAAAGATCTTTAGTAATTTTACTATTTTTTAACAAGACTATATTTTATTACATGAATTTTCACTTACACCGAGATAATCTTAGACCTTTTGCTTGTTAATGTTATTAATACATTTTAAAATGTTAAACCGCGTTGTATTCCTGTGATAAGTTTGACTTAATATAGTGTGGTTATTCTTTCTTTTTTTCTTTCTTTCTTTATTTTAAAAGATTTTTTAAATTTATTTGACAGAGAGGGAGAGACAGCGAGAGAGGGAACACAAGCAGGGAGGAGAGGGAGAAGCAGGCTTCCTGCCTGCCGAGCAGGGAGCCTGATGCAGTGTTCCATCCCAGGACCTTGGGACCATGACCCCAGCTGAACGCAGACTCTCTCTCTCTTTCTTTCTTTCTTTTTTTTTTTTAAAGATCTTATTTATTTATTTGACAGAGAGAGATCACAAGTAGTCAAAGAGGCAGGCAGAGAAAGAGGGAAGTAGGCTTCCTGCTGAGCAGAGAGCCCGATGCAGGGCTCAATCCCAGGACCCTGAGATCATGACCTGAGCTGAAGGCAGAGGCTTAACCTGCTGAGCCACCCAGGCACCCCTGAAGGCAGACTCTTAACGGCATGAGCCACCCAGGCACCCCAGTGTGCTTATTCTTTAAACAAATATTTTACATCAGTTTGCTAGAATTTTATTTAGTATTTTTGCATTTATAAGTTGAAATGATCTGTTTTTATCTTTAATAAAAGATAATCTTTTATTAAATCTTGCCTTCAGATTTTGATATTAAAATTACACTTCTTTTAGTTTCTTTTTTAAAATTTATTT